GTAAGACTCTCGAGGGCATGGAACTGGAGGACGAAGGTGGCACTCGGGAGAAAGCGATCCCTCACTGGAAGGGGCGCCACGCGCGGGACGAGCTGATGGCTCCCACAGTCGGTGCCGGCTACTACACGGCTCTGACGATGGCGGTTTTTGCGGATATGGGATACTACCGCGTGAATTGGAGCATGGCGGAGCCGATGAGCTGGGGCCACCGCAGTGGCTGCGACTTCCTGGAGAAGAAGTGCAAAGAAGCCAAGGATTTCCCCGCCAAGTATCCTCACATGTTCTGCGATGCTACCGACAAGGAGACGCTTCGCTGCACCTCCGACCGCCGTCACGTCGGGACGTGCACCGCAAGCATCGTTGAAAACGAGGGGAGCCCTGCGGATAAGGACGTTTGCCCTGTAGTTTCTTTGTACTTTCACGACACGTCTGGGATAAAGTACAATACGTGCTCGGAAAAAGGTGTAAATTATCTCCCTGGGTCGCTGACTGGCGGTGACTCGTGGTGCCTGGATGCGGAATTACTGTCGAAAAATGATGGCGGTAAACATAAAAACGTCAAGGGAGTGTGCGCGCAGGTGTCGTGTGAGGAGGGCACAGTGAAGGTGAAGCACCTCGGCAGCAGTGAATTGTGGCATGATTGCCCCGATGGCGGAGAAATCCCAGTGACGTTGAAAGATTTTGAGAAAGATGGAAAGATCAAGTGCCCGAAGTACGTTGAGGTGTGCACCATTGCCGGCAACGGCAGCAGTCTTGTCATTCCGAGTGTGTTGGAGGATGACAAAGGAGAAGAGCAAGAGGAGCAAGTAGAGGAGTCTGTGGCTGCTTCGGCGTTGCCTCCTGCACAAGAACCTCATGCAGAAGCGTCTTCCCCAGTCCAACCTCTTGCAGAAATGCCTTCTCCACGGGTGCAAGAGGCATTGCAGCAGCCTCGAGAGGAAATTAAAGCACAAGCGTCCACTGCAGAGGAACCTCATGCAGAGGAACCACGTGCAGCAGCGTCCACCGCAGAAGAATCTCATGCAGAAGCTTCCATTGCAGGCAAAGCTTCTGAAGCTCCAGTGGCTCAAGCGGCATCACGGCAGCCTCAACAAGAACGTGAAGCAGGGCAAAATAAAACGGTGGGGGAATCTGCCACTACACAGCACGTGCCGGCGAATACATCGCAGGGAAGTGTAGGGAAGGCGGCGGCTTCGAACTCCCATGCCGTTGGGGAAGCAACAGGTGATGGCGGCACCATGCGTGAGAGCGGACTGCTACCATCGCTGCTTCTGCTTCTGTTGGGACTGTGGTGGTTTGCGGCTCTGTGAGGAGTGACTGGCTGCCGCGTGGGACAATTGCGACCTTCCGAGTACAGAATTAATTTCAAGAAATAACTTATCCTTAGGATAATTTGCTTTTCTTGCTTTTGCTTTGTTGTGCGTTCTTAATTTTTTCTTTTACTTCTTTTTATTCCTAAATTATTCTGTGTTTTTTTCTTTTTCTTTTATCTCTCACTCCCGCATCCCTCTTTTTCTGCTTTTGGGGGCAATCACTATGGACGTTCTTTTTTCTTTTCTACTCTTTACAATTGTTTGTTTCTTCTGCACTCTTCCTGTGAGGGGTGCCGTGTGTTTCCCGCCCAACTGCTCCACTCGCACACCCACCGACACGCTCATGACGACGGCCCTGTGCGCCTCGCCTGCTGCACGCATGAGGAGGGGCCGCGACGAACGGCGCGCTGAGGGAGCCGTGACGTGTGGGCGTGCGACGAGGGCCTGTGGGGCGGCGCACACATTTCTTTCCCTCCTGTTTTGTTTTGTTTTCTTGCGGCCAGGGCGGGCAGACACCCGCAGCGCCACACACACAGCCACACCCTGCCGCCGTGTTTTTTTCCTTTTTTTTTTTTGTTTTCTTTTTATTCGATGGGTGTGTGCTGCCACCGTGCGTGATTGTTGAGGTTGGGGTCGTACCGCATGTATCGCTGTCGTCCAGCTGTGCCTCTTGCTGTGTTGATGTGCCTCCCTGTGCTCCTCCTCATTTTTCCCCGTTTCCAGCACACAGAAAATAAGTATTTGCACAGTGGTCTGCAGTGAGGCCTTGGTAACGAGGGACGTGGGCTTGCGTCCCGTGCTGAAATGATGACGCGGCTGCACGATGCCCGCTATGTGTGACGTTGCCTGCTCTTGGGGTCATTCTTTTCTCCTCTCCTCTTTGTTTTTGCTCTGCTGGTTGAGGGCGTTGCTCGGTGTGTGCTGACGCGTGACGGACGGTGCCACGATGGCATCCTCTGACGATGACAGTCGCTGTGCTCCTGGCACACATCCACACACACTTCCCTGTGTCTCTGTGGGAGTGATTGCGGCAGGGCATTGCTGCGAGCGTGATGGGGACCACGACGGCGTCACCCCTCGAGAAGTTTCCGCGCACTGTCGGTTGTGGAGCGGCGAGGCGGTTTGCCTGCAGATTGACTGACAGAACCGCACAGTCGTTTCATTGCGGTCACTCCGTCGGCATCACCCGCTGCGGTGGTGTCCGCAAGAGCCGCAGCCCCGATGGGGATGGCCTCGTAGTTGTCTGGTGGCTCAGAACTTCAGGCCCTTCGCCCTTCAGAATTGCCCTTGCTGCTCGACTGGCGCAGCACCATTCATCGCTCAGGCCCCGCAGCGGTTATTTGCGACCTGAATTCACGCCATGAGCTGCGGGACGGTCGCTCAGCATCAACGACGGCAGGAGATGATCTCGCCTTCATCTCAAGCGGCATGGAATCTAAACTGTCCGACGACCCGGCACAGGCAACGTGGACCAGCGGCCGCAGCGTCTCGTTCCCGACGTGACTGTGCAACGCTTACTGTGTGTCTCCCACTAAACGTCCACCCGTTTACATGGACTCGGACCACCATCTGCCATCCCACACTGCAGGGACGGAGGACGGCATCCCGCGACAGGCAGGCATGCTGCCACGACGGAAACATGTCGACATTTCCCTGCGTGAAGCTGACTGTGATGCTTCCACCTCGGCGTGTGCAACGTCTCTGGCCACTGTGAACACATGGTTGGAGATGCACCGAGGCACCGTACAAGCGGCAGCCGTGACATTCCCACAGGAATCTGTACGGACGGAATGGAGCAGGCCGAGTGTGTTGCAGCGGCAGCCTGCCCCGAGCTGAAGTGCACCGCAAACGGGAGGACCGCAATCATGCCCTCCGCGATGGCTTCTCCATGCTGCTAGAGGTCCGTGCGAAACAGCTTGGTGCCCTCCCGATCCCAAGGCCTGTGATGCCCCGAGGCATGGCGGCGCCACGTCCCTGCCCTTTGGGATCGGCTGTGCTGCGGTGCTGTTGGGACCGCATCTGTGCTCTGCCTCCGCCGTGACCTCTTCCCGACGTGAGCACCGCCACTCCTTGCCGACCAGAAAGCGGCTGATTGACTCCTCCTGTCCACTCCTCGGCTGACCGGCACGTGCCACACAGATTGCAAGTGACTTTTTATGTCGGTGGTGCCATCCCTCCCACACTGAGGAGACGGATCCACACCGACCTCCTCCGGAACCTCCATCTGGCGTGTCGACGGCACCTCCTCGTAGAACGACGAGCAGCGGATCAACGTCGCCCTGCTCAAGCTGCAGCAGCGTCTTCTCGTCCGTCCACAGTATGAAGGCACACGCCCGACGCAATAACTCTGGCACTCCAATCGTCGCAGAAGGCCTCACATGTGGATTCTGCGACAGCTCCACCGTATTCCCAACAGGTGCCTTACGCGCAGGTCATTACCAAAAATGCCAGGCGTGTTAACGAGCAAAAAACGGACGACGCACCTCTGCAAGCTCCAATTGCAACCATGGCCCTTCAGCCACTCCGCTACGGCAACCCTCACCAGCCGCTGAACCCCCGACAATCCACGGGAACGCCTGCCGCACAGGTTGTGGCAATGCCCCCGTCCTCGACAACTGAACATCCGACTATTGGGAACATCACTTCTCGCACGACAGCGGCATCCAAGAAAGAAAAACTGGCCACATCGTTACGGGCAGCCCGCAGGCAATTAACGAACAGCGGCAGCAAATTATAACAAATAATTCCCTTTTCTCAGCATAGAAAAAACATCATCTTTACAGTCGCAATTGCCACCAATGAATTCATTGCGCAATACCGCTCTGAGCTGCAATACTTCCTGGTGTCATCCAGCTCCCTTGTCGGCACATTGATGCGAGTGGGCGCCCATCCATTCCTCCCAATGACGGTGCATGTCTGCGATGTCCCCTCTGCTCCAAAAGGCACGTCCCTCACCACAGCCGGGATCGACTTCGCCCTGTCCACACGCATCGCCTTGTCAGAGGAGCAGGAGTACGTCAGGCTGGCAGCAAAGCACCCGCCAGCACAACACATCACAACCAGAAGCACCAGCAGCACTGCAGACTGTGGGGCGACGTGAACCAACTGACGCATGCTGTACGTGAAGGAAGACCCTTCATGGCTTGACAAGAGTAAGAAACACCGACAATATCTCAAAAAGAAAAGAAAAAATACAAAAAGAGAATTTAGGCGTACGCGGTCAAAGCAAACTGCCAATCAAAAATAATAAGTAATGGGTGCACTCAACCAAAACACAAGTAAAACAATAAAACAACACAAAAAGCCGAAGCGTGGGACGACCAGCGCGCACACACTCTCATTACTCCCGTAAAGCAAAACACACACACAGAGGGAGAGAGAGGTCGCCCACTCAATGCAATAAAAACAAAACAGAAACAGTTACGGTGCTCCGCCCATGCAGCCAGGCAGGACGGCAGCGGTGCGTGTCGTGCAAAAGAGAGCACCAACGGGCCTGCATGGGTGTGCATGCATATATACAATGGGCACATTATTGTGTGTGCCTCGTGGGGTGAGGTGAGGGCGAGAGTCCATGCAAGGGGACACACACACACAGAGAGAAGGAAGAGTGTGTGTGCGGGCGGTGCACGGCTCTCTCTCCCTCACTCTCACGCGGCCACCACCGCAGCAGCAGCAGCACACGCAACAACAACAACAAGAAGCAAAAGAGGGGAGGTGGTGTGGGGGACCGCGGTGCTGCCGTCACTGTCGCCTGTACGTGCTGTGTCATTTGTTATAGCTGTGGCTTCGACTGGTGTTTCCTTCCTGGTGCTATGTTTATTGTCACCTCTTTTTGCACCTTCTGTTACTGCACTGTTAGTTGTAGGGTTATTCTTCGGCAATCCTATTTCAGTGCCCCTTTCTGCGTCCATATTAGAGGCATCACCAACAGCTAAGTGTCGTGGTTGTGTTGATTCAGAATCACCGTCCGATTCACCATTCTGTTCGATTAGTACAACGGAAACATTTTCCTCATTTGTTAAATCATTGCTTGGCTCCACGCCGTCATTGACTCCTTGAGACGTTTGCTCTGGCACGTCATCTTCACTGCTCAGCTTTTCTTTTCCTGGTTCTGCTTTAGGGTTTTCCACTGGTTTTTCATTTGTTTTCATTGTCGCTGCTGGTGCACCTTGCAGTGAAGCTGGTGGTGCTGCTCCATTTCCCTGTGTTGATGCTGGCGGCAATAAAGATGCTGGCGGTGATGGTTCGCCAGTTCCTTTTCGTTCCCCTCCTGATGGCGTTGTTGCTGATGAGTGACCTCCCACTTTCGCCGAACCATTGCCTGCCTGTCTCGCTTGTCCTTCGCCACCTTGTCCATCCAGCGGCGCTTCCCGTTCTTCAAGTAATTCTCCACTTTCTTCTGCACTTTCCCCTTATTTGTTCTTTCTCTGCTTCTCCTTTGTCGTCCATTGATTTGTCGGTCGTAGGTTTCTCTATTTTCGGATCCTTCCTCTGATTACCAACCGCTTCTTTTTTTGAATCCAACTGTTCCCCTACTTTTTTGAGCCCTTGACTGACTTGGTCTGAAGATTCCTGTTTTCCGTTATTTCTGCCTGCGGGTTCAGACGGTGGCCCCTTTGCTGAACCCTGGCTTACATCGGTATTTTCAGAATCATCGGCCATTGACACTCCCACCGCACATACACCGCACCACAGCACGCAGAGGGCACACACCAGCAGCACACGGCCAGTCATCATCATCGCCATCACTCCTGTCACTTGCGTGCAGCCTTCAGCACAGACTAACCCCTCGTCAGCGCAGAGCAAAAGGAGAGACAGAAGAGAGACAATTCACGCAACAAATGGCACGATTCCAGCACCGGCAACAGCCCAGCAGCAGCGCACACACCATGAGACAGCTGTAATCAGTGAAAGGGCAAAAACGTACACTGCCCCGCAGCAATTAAACAGCAATAAAACACTAAACAAGTAAAAGCAAAGCAAAAGGAAACAAGAATAATAAAGTTAGAAAAAAAACAAGAGCTGCATTAAATGGCTCCGGTGCAAATGCGCGCATCCAAAGATATGCGCCCATTTAAAAAATCCTGTGCTTGTCATGCATATGAGCGTGTCTGGGATGCGTTCAACGTGACGGATGTGGGAAGCAATGCGGAGCACACAGCAGAGCAGCGGAAGCAAGTGAAGCAAAAAACAATCATAATAATTACTCTTACTTTATACATCGGACCACAGTAGACGCGCACATGTCCCCGTGGCTGAGTGCTGGCACGCACAGCCCACACACACCTCTTCAGCCCAGAGCGGTGTACGCCAGTGCGGATACTGCAAGCAGCAGCGGGGCACACACCCACGCAGAGCTGCCGAGGCTGCCGTCGACTTCGCGAAGACGTGACGGTGCGCTGGTGGTCGTCGTGGTTGTCGCCTGTGTCGTAGTACTTGGTGCCTCTGGCGCAGTCGTGGTCGTGGTCGTTTTAGTTGGTGTCTGTGTTGTAGTGGTGGTTGTCTTGGCAGAAGCTTCGGCGTTCTGACCTGCTTTCTCTGCGGCTGTACTCGTGTCACTTGTTGTCTCTGTCATACCGTTCTTAACTTCTGTCGCTAACACATTGGGCGTCACATTTAATTGTGGTCCAGGAACGGTCGTAACTCCTCCATCTCCAAGTACGGCAGTATTTCCCTTCTCCCCACCGGACTCCTCACCCTGCGGACCTGACTGACCGAGCGTCAGGGTTGTTGCCTGTGTTGCAGTCGTCGTCATGGTCTTCTGGGAAGAATCTTGTTCCGCCAGCTCAGTGTCCGATGCATTGGATGAGCAGCAGCACAGGGCGAGCACCAACAGGGCGCACAGCAGACAGCACGTCATCATCGTGAGTGTGGTCGTTCAGTGGTGTGGAGCTGATCTGCACAGTGAGGGACATGGAGAGCAACAGGGGAGACGAGAGGTGCGGCAGACACACACAGAGGGCACACCACATGAGGAGAGGGCAGTAGTCGGGCATGCACCGTACGCCGCACACCACGCACGACACACACTCCAATCCACGGCAGCAGGCACACACACACACAGCCCTACCGCAGCACCAACACACAGATGGAGGAGGGAGCAGCAAACAGGAGCGGCACACAGGGCTCCACCGCATGCACACACGGCGAGAGCGGTCCGTCGTGCCTGCACCCCTCACGGAGGGTACGCACACACACACAAGAGGAGGTGCAGCGCACACAGCAGCACAAAAGCAAAGTAACAATAAAAAAGGAGAGATCCCCGCACACCACGTGGATTGTTGGTCCACGGGAAGTGCAGCCAACATTTAGCACAAAGCAGCTTATTATCTTGTTTTGTGGTATGCTGTTACAATAACGAGTGAGTAGCGCAAGGGCCGTCCGTACAAAAGTGGCAATCATTCTGTCGTAAAAGGAACGTTCTGCGGGCTGGGGCAGCCCCAAAAAGTCGCAGTCCATATTCTCAATGACGGGGCATTACCGCGGTGGATGAGGCGGAGTCTCCCGTGGTCTGTCGGGGATCAGCAGCCCTTGGCGTCTGTGACGAGGCGGTGGCGGAAGTGCCTGGCCCATCTCGAGTGCCCGCGTTTGTGCTTCTTGCGGTGTCTTGCCTGCTGGCATGCTTGGATCTTCGGTGGCAACCTGCGCGCGATGCGCCTGTTAGGATGACGGTGAAACAATCGCGGCATCCGCATGTGAGTCTCTCTCAAACCATTGGAACGCCAGGCCGAGCACGTCGATCATGTGCCCTCATATTGTGGACGGAAGAGTGCACTCTGACAAAGATTCGGCATGTGGACTTCAATCCGCCGCTCGCTGGTCGGCAAGGAGTCGCGGCGCTCACGTCAGGAAGAAGCTCCGGCAGAGGCGGGCCATTCTCCTCAGTGTGAGGGACGGCACCACCGACACAGAAAGGGTTCCTTGTGATCCGCAGGGCGCGTGCGGCCTGCCGAAGAGTGGGCAGGAGTCGCATCGCGCCTGCGCGCAGTGCCACTCGGGGAACGATTTCCGGGTCAACACCAGGAAGAGACTCCTCGCCGCACCGAAAGTTGCCTGTCACGCGGTGTGCGCGCCTTCCTTTTCCTCCTGGGCATCCTTCAACTTCCGTCGCCTGACTGCAGTGAGGAAGCCCACGTGCCAGGCAATGACGCGGTCCTGCGGGAGAGATCGTGGCATGACGGCATCAGCGTCCGCTGTCACGCTGCGTAGTATACCGCAGTGTGATGGGGAAAGTATAAATTCTACAAAGTTACTTCGCTTCATTAAGGGAAGCAGCACAATCCAAATCTCTTCAGTAACGCGGTCTCGCATGGTCAATGGGCAACAGAACGCCTCAATTGCCGACAGGGAGTCCGTTGCCACCAAGATTCGTGTGGGCGATTGGGATGTTTCTGGACGAGGAGGTATAAGATGTCTAAAGCCACTTTCAATGGCAAGGCACTCTGCTCTATATGAGCATGCGAGCCTGCCACCTGCTGCACGATGGACCTCCGCAGGGAGATCATTTGTCATGGTGGAGTCGTATAATGGTGCAGCGGATCAATGTGCGGGTTCAGCGAGAGAGGAGGGACTGTCCATCCATAATTCAAAATCACAATCTCCCAGAGAGGAGTAAATAGAATCAAATGCCGTGCGCCCGACATCGTCAGAGGCGTCGTTGGCAAAGGGTAGCTGATAAAATCTCACTTTTTGCAGCTCACAGTGTCCCAGGAAAAATTCGATGTTGAATAAGAGGAGAGCGCGAAGGTGGTTGCGGGGTGTCCCAATAATGTTACAGACGCGGTGTAACTCATTATTAACTGCATCTCTCTGAAGCGGGATTGATGTCACCGCTTTCCCATGCATGGACGGAGGCATTGGTTTCGAGTAGATAAGGGAACGCAAATCCTCGTGGTCATGGAGGCGTATACAGAGTTAGTATTGTGTGAGTGCACGGAGCCAGAGTATCTTCCGGAGCCGGAAAGATTGGCTTCCAAGTAGACAGATGTATCTTCCGTTGGTGCGCTAAATAAAAGAGATGTGTTACAGCTGTCGCGGTACCGTACTTCCATATTATGGAGGTAGTTGTAGGCAAGGCATGGGACAATTGCCTCGCCACGATATAGTGACACACTGTGGACGTATCCAATCGAAAAGGATCGCATGGTGAGATGGGACGCACCAGCTTGTGCGACCAGCTTCAATTGGTAACGGCGTGGCATGGTCTGCTTTGAGGCGGTGGAGGCGTGCGTGCCAAGATTAAGAAGTTGATCAATCGTGGTGCCCAGCAAGCGCACCGGGCGTGACTGAATGCGTAGTTGCCCATTGCCAAGATGGAGATCGACCATTTCTTCGTCAGAGAGTGCGTGTGTGTGAAGAGATGTAGAATAGAGCAGCTTCGCCCTTAGCGACGTTGATTTTTAGGTTTTGCTCGGCAGCCCATGTGGCCACAAGAGACAAGAGCGGTCGCATTGCCGCAGCACATGCATGGATGTCCGCACCTGAGGCAACAAGTGTGAGATGGTCAGCGTGCATGAATGCGGAGGCAGAATAGATGTTGTCCATGCGGTGCAGCAGATAATCCACACAGTAGAGGGAGAGTTGGGGTCCCAGGACGCCGCCTTGCGGTGCTCCGGCTGAGGTGAGTTGTTTCCGGGAGTGCTGTTCGCGAGTGCACACCCCAACACGGCAGCCCCGCAGGTAGTTGTGCAGCCAGCGTTTGGTTCGTGGGCCAAGGCGCGGAAGTCTGTCAAACACGCCGAATAATTTCCCATGGTCAACGGTGTCTCAGGCAGTCGAAAAATCAATCAAGACTACGAGCGAGCGATGGCGACGAGAGTGCCTTGTGGGGGCGCCGCCTCCAGGGCGCTCATACTCCACAGTGCTGAACTCATTCAACCCACGGGTAATTCTATCAATAACAAGTGTCACCACGTCCGATGCAGAACGCGAAGGTGCAAAGTCAAATTGACGTGGGTGGTGCGGCAATAACGCTGACAGACGGCGGTGAATCATCCTTTCGATTAACTTTGGTAAGGCATAGAGTAGCGTGATAGGTGTGTGACTCTCTGGGCGGCATGGACCTTTTCCCAGGTTTGGGGATAGGAATAGTGTCCACCGTATTCCAGGAACCAGGCAGGCTGCCATTTGCGAGAGAGTTGTGGATCATCGCTCCAATTGTGTGCCGCACGCAACGGGCCCGAGACGGTGCAGGAATTCATCCAACATGTTGTCGGGGCCAGCGGCCGAGCCGAGCGAGGAGTCACGGATGGTCACGTCAAGTTCATACGGCGTGAGAGGCCGATCCATTTCCCGGTCACCAGGAAGCAATGGAGTGCGGCGTGCAGCAGCAGCAGCATAAGGTGATGTGGCACGTGAAACCGCACAAAATGATGGACGAGCAGATTTGCCTGTTGCCGAGGCAGAGCGGAAACGCAGCCAAGTTCAGCGCGGAGCACAACCGATTGCGGAGGATGAGGGTGCGGCGCCGCCATGCCGCGGAGATATCGCCAGCTTGGGCTGGATGAGGCCCCAAGTTTTTTGAGCGCGGGCTTCCAGAGGCATAGCGAAGCCACGGCGTAAGGCCTGATTTTAGTCCCCTCTTTTTCAAGTAAATTCGGCTCGAAGTAGACTGTCTCCAGGTGAGGCAATGTGTGCTTTGTATGCAGCTTCGGCGGCGATCTCGGCTCGTTCCATTTCGTGTGTCCACATCGTTTTTGGGGCTGTCACGGCTGCCGCGCGGGATATGGCGCTCAGCTGCTCGTAGGATGCCTCTGCGGATGTACAACCATGTGGGCGCGGTGGCAAGGAGTGCTTCACACGAGGTGGAAGCAGGCCAATCCGCTTTGCGCAGAGCAAAGGTGGCTTCCTTCCGTCGAGGCAGCGTGTTGGCTAGTCGCGGAATGCCATCGCCCATCCCTACCGAGTAAGATATTCAGCAGTGGTCCGAGTCCATGTAAGGGGCGGATGTCCGGTGGGAGATGCGTAGCACGCGATACGCATTCACGTCAGGGGACGAGACATCACGATGTGTGATCCGTGTTGCCGGCGCCAGATCATTTGTCAGTCCGAAATCCATATCAATTAAAACGGCGGCAAAGTTCTCTCCTCCAGTCGTTGTTGGTATGTATGACTGTCCCAGAGCTCATGATGTCAATTCAGTTCACCCGCGATAATCGCAGCGGGGAACAAGCGACGGAGGATATTGATAAATGTAGATTCTTGAACAGTTTCCATGGGAGGGTTGTAGAGATACACTACGCAGATCCTGCGACATCCCTGATGAGTTGCACGGACAGCAATGGTCTCCAGGAGGTCAGTGCCAGGGAGCGACAGGCGCTCGCACGGTAGAGAGTGGCGCAGCAGAATGGCAACGCCACCACCGCGCCCAGTGAGGCCTGAAGAAAGTCATTGCAGCCAGAAATTTTTGTCGCTACGTCACTGCGATTATTTATTTCCTGCAGAAGAACGGTGTCAGTTTGATATCGCTCCCATCGCACAGCAAAAGCAATCTTTTTACGGACGAGAGGCCTGCAATGCTAAGCCGCCAAACAGTGATGCAGCCATCCTCCTCGGTGCCAGGGTTCTTGTGGACGTCACCGCAACGGGTGATATCAACGGAGTGACCGCTGCGAAACGGTCGCACAGATTTTCCCGACAGTCTGCAGGCAGACCGCTTCAACTCCCCGCACCGGGCATGGCGTGGAACCCTCTCGAGGGGTGAAGTCGTCTTGGTCTCCGTCGTGCTCGCAGCAACGCCCTGCTGCGGAGTTCGTATATGCAACCAGAGCCCCAGCACCGCGACAGGGTTCGAATTCATTGCTGGGGCCCAGAAGAGGCCGCAGTGCCTCCTGCTGTCATCCGGAATCTTTGTTGACGCCTTCTTGCGGAGAAGCGCCCATTGTTTCTTCCAAACAACGCTGCACTCCCGCGACGCATCCTGCGCTGTGAAAGGCACGTTCCTCACCACAACCGGAGTCGCTCACGCGCCGTCGGCACGCACCACATCGTCAAGAAAAGAGCAGGAATGCGTCAGGGTGACAACGAGGCACCCGCTGGAGAGTCGAATCACAAACATCACCAGCAGCGCCGCAAGCCATGGGTTACCGTGGAACAACTGACGCATGGCGTATGTCGAAGGAAAACTTAGTGCCTTCACAAGAATAAGAAAGAATAAAACTCTCCCAAAAGAATATGAGAATAACAATAAAAGATTGAAGTGCCCGCGATCAAAGCATGCCGCAAAGCAAAGAAAAGTGGAATGGGTGCACTCAACCACAAAATCAAAAAGGAAAACAAAACAAAAAGCCGAAGCGTGGGACGACCAGCGCACACACACTCTCATTGCTCCCGTAAGGCAAAACACACACACAGAGGGAGAGAGAGAGAGGTCGCCCACTCAATGCAATAAAAACAAAACAGAAACAGTTACGGTGCTCCGCCCATGCAGCCAGGCAGGACGGCAGCGGTGCGTGTCGTGCAAAAGAGAGCACCAACGGGCCTGCATGGGTGTGCATGCATATATACAATGGGCACATTATTGTGTGTGCCTCGTGGGGTGAGGTGAGGGCGAGAGTCCATGCAAGGGGACACACACACACACAGAGAGAAGGAAGAGTGTGTGTGCGGGCGGTGCATGGCTCTCTCACACTCACTCTCACGCGGCCACCACCGCAGCAGCAGCCGAAACAACAACAAGAAGCAAAAGAGGGGAGGTGGTGTGGGAGACAGCGGTGCTGCCGTCAATGTCGCCAGGCGTTTGAGTGCCTTCGGTGTTCGTCTTATTCGGTGCTCCTTCCGGGCCTGAAGTTGAATTCCTTTTCTCTTGACTGACAGCCGGCATCCCCTCTGAGGTGTTGTCATCATCCTTTTCTTTATCCTCTTCATCTTCTTCCACCCCATACTTGGCTTCTTCTTCCTTGGTGTTTTTCTCACTTTCTTCTCCCTTTTTATCCTCTTCCCTTTCCTCTGCCTTCTCTCCCTCTTCTGCATCCTCTTCTTCATCGTCTTC